ACGGCTGAAAGGGCAAGCATGTTTGGTGGGACAGGGATTTGAACCCGCGACCCTCAGATTGCGAGTCAAGTGCCCTAACCATCTGGCCATGCCAGGCCTTTCCACACAAACAACATTTGATTCGAGTGTAATTTGCTAAAAAATGAATATTATGCTAAATACAATTTCTATGGGCTTTCTCGACTTATTTAGGTCTAGAATACGCTTATCACTTTGTGAACACACATTCAAACGTTTCTGTATATTCAGCTAAGTTTACCTTCATTACAACTTTACATTTAATTTACTTTGCCATAATTTAGCTTCGGTTCGCTTCATAGTCTGCTATAAAACCTTTTTAGCTACTTTTTTCTTTACTATGGATTATATATATACTCTCCGTTTTTGTGAGTTTATTTGTTTCAATTCGTAAAACCGTTCCATATACTAAACGTTCATAGCGTTTCATACTCTGTACATTATTATAAATATCATTACTTTATATTATTGTTTACTTTACGTATAGTTTTGCTAAATAAAGTTACTTACATTTATCAGATAAACTTACGTCTACGTGAGTTTGTTTATCTGACTACATATTTTTATTTTTCAAGTAGACTAGGATTTATCGATCTGATGCATAATGCATGTAAGAAAGCGAAGCTTAAATGGTGTGCGTGAAAATTACAGAATAAGGAAAATTCAAGCGAAGGGCATGAAAACTACTTCAGATGTTTTGCGTGTAGCGGCTAGTCTATAAAAAATATGTAATTGCTAGAATAGTACCCTTTATCTCACTACCCCTTAAGAGTCTGGGAAACCCTGTTTTTCGACATTTTTTTATAAACTAACTACCTTATGGCTTCATCTCTGCAAGTTTTCGTCTCAAGCAGCTGCTTGACAGATTACACCATCAGTCTTCTTTCCACATTCAAATCAATGAAGTTCTTTACAAGTGTATTTTGAGAGTCCTAATAGAATTGTTAATCGGTGCTCTAGTCATTTAAAAGAATCTTGTGAATTAACCATTTTACTTCTTTTCTGTTAACCTTGAATATGCACGTTTAACTAAGCCAAGTTGCGGCATTGAACGGAATAGCAAAAGTCATCAAGGGATTTCTTTCTCTTGGAACGCTCTTGTGAGATGTGTGGAAGTTGTTTGGTATTTTGAACCTGAACGACATAAACCCAACGTCTAGATCAGTGTTCAAGCATAGGTTCAAGCATAGTCATTCCTAACTTAGTCCAAACATCATACAAAAATCAATTAGGTCAAAGAATTAGATATATTACTTTACCCCTGGAAAAAAAGTCTACCTTCCCAAAGCGATCAAGTTATAGGGTTTCTTTCCTTCTGATACATTCACACATACATGCGAGTAGAAACAATTAAAGTTTTAAGAAGATTTGAATGAGTGCATTTAAATTTTTGTTCAGACAATATATTTGCGTTTAATAGATAGGTGGATAGTTGAATACATCAATAGATAGATAAGAAAATTGGTATTATTTTTAATTAAAGGTTTCATAAATATGCAGTCAGTCTCTAAGAGTTTTATAATTATTCTTGCCTACACTTAAAATTATCTTAACGAATCTTGTTTTATCTCAAGGTTTATC